CGCTCCCCTGACGCTCCCCTACTCGCTCCCTCGCTCTCCTACTCGCTCCCTCGCTCCCCTGACGCTGGAGGCGGGACCCTCTGCTGTTGAATATGAGCATTAATTTCCTCAAAGTAACAATGAAGGCATGCGCTCAATTCAAAAGGGTGTCAGTTCCCCAGCCGGTTTGTTCAGGTGTGCGCTCCCAGACGCGCGGGCGCACCGACCCCGGCTCCTGCCCGCCCCACCCCGCCCTCACATTGCACACAGATCTTTAAAGCACGCATTCTCTGGATGAGGAGTGGGCTCCGGGACTGGGGGTGGGGCCAAGCCTGCTGTCCTCAGGACTCCCCCTAGACCCTGGCTGTCTCCCCTTGCTGGTCCTTCCCCAGCTGCCCCGCCGGGCTGGTCCTTCCCCAGCTGCCCCCGCCCCCCCGCCGCTGGTCCTTCGCCGGCTGGTCTCCCCTGGGCTGGTCCTTCCCGGCTGCCCCCTCCCTGGCCGCACCCCTGCCGGCTGGCCCCCACTCACCCACGTAGAGCTGGCTGTAGAGCTCCAGGCGCTTGTGGCCCTCGGTGGGAGCTTTGCGCACCTGCGGGGGCAGCCGGTCCACCTGCAGGCTGGCTTGCTTGACGTTCCTCTCAGCGGTGACGCGGTGCCACTGGTCATCGTTGAGGGGGGATGGCGCCCGCACCACGATCTCCACCGGCCCGTTGCCCACGTCGAAGGAGAAGGACACGTCGGTGGCAGCTGCGGGGGGGAGGGGGGCTAGTATGAGCGGGTTTCCCTCAGGCAGAGCTTAGGACCCAGTGCCACCCAGAGGGGTTGGCAGGGACCTGCAGGACCCTCCCTCCCAGCCCCCTCTCATACCCACTCACCACCTTCACCACGGTCAGCTCACGAGGGGACGGGCCAAGGCTCACGGAGCACCCCACCAGCTGACAGTGGACAGTGCAGACCGCGGGCGTGTGTTTGGGCTCACTGATGGGAACTCCACGGATCCCACGGCCTCCCTGACTGTCCCGGGTCCACCCTCCTCCTTTCCTGGGAGGGAGATGTCCGCAGGTGAGCTTCCCTTTCTAGTGCTACTGTGCCCTCGCGGACCCATCGACGGTCTGACTGAAAACGGGGCCCTGGGGAGGGTTCATTTCCAGACCTGGAGGTGACAAGGGGTGTCTCAAGTCCTGGGGTCCCCCGGCCTTGCCGACCAGCCAGCTGGTCTTTTTATGATGCTGAGTCTTGTGCCACGTTGCCCTGCTGCCCTGCCCGGGACATGGGGCAGACCCTTCCCGAGCACTGGGAGTGGCAGCTGGAACATGCAGTCCTCCTCTCAGGTCGTGGCGGCCTTTGGCTTCTGCAGACCCGACAGCATGTTTCCATGAGGACCCTGTGCAGGGGCCTGGGCACTGAGAGGTGGCAGGACCAGAGCCTGGTGTGTCCAATCTCAGTGCCTGGGTTCCCATTGGACCCCTCGCCACCGCCCCCCCACCCCCCCCACCATGTAGCTCAGGGCATAGACTTGCCCTTGACTTCCAACCCACCCAGACAGCTTCATGGGAACCCCATGGGCAGCCCGCCCCCCAGACCCTGACCCACAAGCGTCCTGTTTGATGTCCCTCAAAGTGCTGCCACAAGGCTCCTGCACTGAGGGCCACTCCAGAACTTCACTTCGTGAGACTGCACCAAGCCTGGTGGGAGTTAGGGGGTCCATAGAGGCACCCTGTGGGCTCTTGTTCTCGTAGAACCTCCCTTTCTGCACCAAGTGTCGCAGACCTCAGCCTCTGCCCTTCTGTGGGGCTGGGGTAACGGTGTGTCCCCTCAAAATCCGGTTGATGTCTGACCCCTGTGCCTGTACCTATGACCCTGCTGTGAAACAGAGAGTCTTTGTTGGGTTCATGAGGTTGTGCCAGAACAGGGTAGGTCCAGAACCTGATCCCTATGGAGTTGTAAGAAGAGCAGTACAGACAGACAGATGCACAGATATGGAGGCGGGGGTGGGACCGTAGCCATGGGAGCATAGAGAGAGAGGCATCTTCAAGCCCAGCATTCCAAGCATTGCTGTAGATGCCAGGAACGGAGCGAACCCCGACTGCAGCTCCAGGCCACAGGACATGGTGGCTGTGCTTTAACAGTGACTACTCTGAACTGGATGGCGATCACCCACGGAAATGAGCAGATCATGAGTCTCACATTCGACCATTCAGGCACATTAAACAACTCTAAACTTGTTTTATTGACATATGATTTACATGCCATACAATTTAATGGTTCAAGCCTATTAAGAAGAGTTGTGCAATCAATGCCACAATCAATTTTACAACACTTTCATCTTTCTTGTGCTTGTTATTAGCAGCTCCTCATCTCCTCCCAGCTCCCCTTGCCATCATCCTAAGAAGATATTGATTACTGTATACATTTGCCTACCCTGGATTTTATAGAAAGGAAAATATACAAAACAAAAACCTCAACAACAAAATAAAGAAAAACCACAGTGGAAAAGGAATCAGAAAACAATAAAAACTAGACATATCTAAGAAGGGAGAACACATGATAAGGTGTTAACCACATCTGCATTCGTCCACTTTCCAGTGCATTCTGCTAGCAAGGCTGGTCCCATCCCTGGTCAGTGGTCACAGGGGAATCACTGGAGGCCTAATCAACCCGGGGGCCCTGTAAGTAAATAGATCTTGGGCTTTCACTGTCCTCCATAGCCTTCTGCAAACTGGGTGTCAGAATGTAAGCTCTAATACCATTCTCTCCTCAAGTCTTGGATTTTATGATTTGAAATCCTTGGATCACACAGGCTGGTGTGCTGCTTCTGTCTGGACTTAGCTGACACCTCACTTAGATGGCTTCTTATTTTAAGAAGACGCTATTCTTTCTAATAGCCAGGCACCGTCTGATTTCCTAACTACGCTTTGCAATGGAATCCATACCTTCAGCCATGTCTTCATGAGGGCAAGTATAGAGTGTGGCCATGAACTCAGGCACATTTTGTTTCCATGGTCCACTGCAAGGCCCTCAATGGAGCATCAGTTCCTCCTCATGTTTCCTGGTTTATTGCCTCCTCCTTTTCAAGTCTCTGAACTGCCCCCTCAGGTAAGTGCTGTCCCTTTGCTTACGATGGTTGATTATTCCACCACAGGGAGGATTTCAGGGCCAGACCTGAAAGGTAAGGGCAGAGTAGTCTTCGGGGGACCCACTGGTCTCTAGTCAACCAGTAGACCTGACCGCTTCTGATTTTGAGTTTTGGTCCGTATTTTCCTTTCACTGGATCCAGGGCCTTACTAGCGGGGTCCTTTTCAGAGCAGAGCTGGTGATGGTTGGGCACCACCTAGTTCTGGCGTCAGGATCTTGGAGACTGGTGTTGGCGTTCGCCCATACACCCACTGGACTCCTTGCTTCTAAGTGACTGTCCTTTAAAGCCACCCACTGCGGCTCTTTTGTTAACCCCCGCCACAGCGCACCTCCAGTGCCATTGCAGTCATTACTCCCCTCAGATTTGCCCCAACAAGCTCTTCAAAGCTGCCGGCTGCTCCTCAGGAGAGAGACGGGGGCTTTCTACTCCTGTGAAGAGTTCAGTGTCGGAAACCCACGAGGGCAGCTCTATCCTGTTGACTCAATGGCGGAGAAAATGAATTTTTTTTGAACTTGACCTAGGAACATGATCCTTTATGGTGCTACGAAGCACTGTATCTCATAACCTGCAGCTACCCACGGGGTAGGGAAGACTCTCCTTTCAGCAGGAGCCTGGCCACAGAGTCACCGAGAGAGGTCACACTTGGGAGACCAGCAGCCCTTCCCACGGTCTCTGTCCCTGGACTCAGGTGTTCACCACATCACTTGTGAGGCCAGTGTCCCAGGTGCTTCTCATTGGCATCAGGCACGAGGAGAACAGGGGGCGCTGGGACACACGCGTCCTTGCTCAGCCTGGCACTGTCCTGCAGCCTGTCTCTGGAGGTTCCCGTGTGAGCTCCCTTGTCACTGGGATTAGCGTGGGCACCAGGAGTCCTGAGCATTGTTCTGAGCTTTGCCTTTGCACCTTCTTGGACCTGTGCCTCCTGGTTTCAGGAGTGTGTTTGGAATGTGCTATAAAACCACCAAACTGGGCGGCCTCTGAGGTCCTTTCAAATGCCCACATTCAACAATGGAATTACCAAGAGACGCAGAGAAACAATAACCAGAGGGCAGCCGGGCTGAGGGTTGCTCTTGTCATTGGGTCACCTCGGGAGAAAAGAGCCGTGCAGAGGGCAGCATCTCAGCACGCGATCTGTGAGCGCCGCGCAGACCACTGCTGAACAGGGGCCGGCCATGCGTCTCTCTGAGCAACCCAGGGAGTCGGCCATCACACCTGACTGCTGAAGGGGGCGAGACTGGGGCAGAAGCAGCAGGTACAGGGGAGGGACCCTGGCCAGGACCAGGAGGACCGCAGCCTTGAACAGAATTGCAGACAGGACCTTGGACAGCGCATGACTCACTCTACCTTCACCACTGTCTCCATCCATCCGTCCATCCATCCATATATCTAATTCTGTCTATCTATCTATCTATCTATCATCACTCATCTAGCCATCCATCCACCCATATAGCTATTTGTCTGTCTACCCACCCATCCATCTACCCGACTATTTACCTATCCACCTATCATCTATTTATCCATCCAAACATCCAACTATCTCCATATCTCTGCCTGTCTGTCTATCCATCTGTCTCTCCAGCCATCTACTCTTTCCGCCTTTCAAGGATCACCCAGCAGGTGGCACTATCCACTCTTTCAACGCAGGACCTCCTTCCACAAGTCCCTCCAGGCTCCTTGTGTACGTGGTCCATTCACCCGCTGCCCGACTGCCAGGCGCTGTGACCCTGAGTTCTCTCAGCTGGACGGCCACGCGTACACTCTGCATCCAAAGCATCAGCTGGGTGTGTGTCCCTCCATGGAGACGAGGCGACAGGAGAGGACGGGGTGGGGGTGGGGGTGGGGTGGGGGTGGGGGTGGGGGTGGGGCACGGTGGGCCTGCTGAGGAGGCCCGGCAGGGATTTGTGTTCTCAGCTGCGAGATGAAGCTCGAGGCTTGGGTGTTTGCAAAGGGCTCTTTGTTTGAGAGCTCGACGAGGAGCAACACAACAAAGCTGGGAGCTGGCAGAGCCGAAGAGAAGGGCCTGCAAAGAGCTGATGGGAAATGGGATGAAAAGACAATAAAAATCTTCCACGGAAGTTTGGAAGCGCCCGCATATTTCAATAGCAGCAGTGGGGAGCGTTAACATGTCTTTTCTTCTTTTCCCAAAGGGAGGACTGGAAACAAAAGACCACGTGATGAGGCAGACCGCCAGTCATTGTGGAGGCCGGAGAGATGAGGGAGGGAGGATGAGGCAGAGGTGGCCCCTGTCTAGGCCCCCTCTCCACGGCATTCCACAGGACGTGCAGTCTCCCCGGCCCTCCCCTTCACAGCCCTTCTCCCCACACTCACCGCAGCTCCTTTGTTCCCATTTGCAGCTGGGTGCCTCGGAGGGGCGGCTGTCCCTCTGCGTCCCCCTGGCCCTCTTGGGCTCCGGTGAAGTTCATTTGGAGCTTGGCTCCCCCACTGGGTGCAGCAGGACACAGGGGACAGCTGCCACTGGCCCTGTCCTGCTGTGTCCACTGTCCGATCCCCACACTTGGACCCACACCTGCCTCAGAGTGTTGTTGTGGGGCACCATTGTGTCGGGTCCGGCCCACCGTGACCCTGTGCCCAACAGAGCCCAACACGCCCCAGTCCTGCGCCGCCCTCACACGTGTCCCTGCGCCCGAGCCCACGCGGCAGCCACGTGTCTGTCCAGCCCCTCCAGGACCTTCCTGTCCTTGCCCGCCCCTCCACTGCACCAAACAGGCCCCTTCCTCCAGCGACGGCCTCTCCTGACAAGACGCTCAAGGTCTGTAGGAAGAGTCTTGCCACCCTGGCACTCCGAGCCGACACCAACCATGCA